AGGAGCTGGCACTTGGTGGCAAGAAGGCACCTGGGAGAGCAGGAGCCAGCCGGAAAGGGAAAGGCCGACCCGGCGTCAACAGGGGTGAAGTGAATTTGGGACGGAGAAAGATGGAAGCCCAGAGCACGCCAGCCCCGGGGCAGAGGCTGAGGTGCCTGGGGAGGAGGCGGTGCAGAGCCCTGCAGGTGGGAGGAAGGAGCTGGAGCATAGCCGGGGGCTGTTAGCTCCTTCCCGTGAGGAGAGGAAGGAGTGGAAGTCCTCAGGGGCGGCTGCAGCGCGGGTGCAGCCACAGCCACCGGCTTGGGGGTAAGGGGCAGCTGGACAAATAGAGCCCCGACGTCTCTTTACCGGGGACCGGCTGCTAATCCCTGAAATGGAGGGAAAAATGGCTTGCACCCAAAGAGCCTCCTTCGGAGGGAGAAGGGGAAAGAAGTATTGCATGGAGTTCCTGATGTGCGCTAGTGTTGTTCCTAAAGCAACTAGGGCCTGTTACTGTTCTCCTCACGTTTATTTTTAACCAAAGAAAATGAGCCTCTTCAGATTTACCTTTGAACTCTTACCCTTAAATAGTCCACACTGAACTAAATAGGAATTTGGCATGGACAAATAGTACGTCAGATAAATAGTAGACATAAAGACTGCTTTCTCTGCCTTTAAGTGCATTTCTTGAAGGCTAGTGGTTCCTAAACACGTGACTACCACTTGTCTTACCACTGACCCTCATTTGACTGAAAACGTTCCTCACCAAGGCTTGAGCTACATCAGCATGAATGAGGGAGGCCTCTGGTACAGCATGGGCCTCAGCACTCACGTTGATGAGTGAAATAAGGATGGCACCTTTAGGATATCAAAAGCACTGGTGATACAGCATCCTTGCTTTGTAGTTTTAGAAAAAAGTACTGCTTTGCAATACGTGAACTTGTTCCAGGACTGACAGAACTGTAGCAATGTAGTTATACCACAACAGCTATGCAGTTTTTATTACTCCAGAATATTACACAGATTATGCTGAAATAAAAGTGGTTCTGGTATAAAGCAGAATAATGGTACCAGAATAGAGTCACTTATTCCCAAGCAGACTCCTTACAGAGGGTTATGCCGGCAGAATTGTAGTGGCAAAAGGACACAGCTGGAGGTCTGTATGTCTTGTTCCCTGTGTAGGCAGGTGCTCATACTTTCCAAGTAGATTGCATACTTCTGCCCTGCATTTCCCTTACTGGAGTGGGAAACTGGAACCCTGGAAAGAAGTGACTGCGGGGCAGATACCCTCTTGAAAAAACAAATGTTCAGTGAAAATTTCTGTTGAGCAGTTGTGGCCCAGTCCTCGCAGTTCCTGTCTTGCTGAAGGAGAGAGGAAGTGAGGAATATAAATCTATATGATCAAAGTAATACAGCTATTAGTAAATAACCTTTCTTCCTCCTTCAAGTGCTGCCTGCATAAATATCCGTTTCTATGTATACCTGTACCAGTTCTCAGAGGAGGTGAGTTTGAGGTGTATTAATTAAACAGAGAATGATTTCCCGAAATGGGATTTAGATCAAGTTGCCAAACTAAGAAAGATCTGACAGTTTGTGAAGGTCAGCTTCTACACAGAAATTCTACACAGATCTATGATGGAGACATTTCCCAGAAATTCTGTGGAATGTACTGTTGACCTTGTATAATATAAAGTGCTCAAAACTTCAAGCTCTGCAGTGATAGAGTGATATAAAGATATATAAGCAAGACTTGAAGAAGGTTGAATGTTCTTTAAAACCTCTGAATAGAAATTGCTGATTCTTGGGGTTTTGTGCGAGCAGACCTGATTTAATATTACGTTCCTTTCCACACTTTAAAAGTGCGTGATGGCTTCTTTAAGAAAGTATTTTTTTCAAGCTGGTTGATACAGGATTTTATTTATAAACCTTTTTAATAATGCGAAGTTAAGGTCAGTATTAGTATATGCCACTTCAGCATGTCGACTTCAGGTGACTTGCAGCCTCTGATAAACAGAGATAAAGGAATACTTAAGAAGTAAAAACATAGATATAGGAAATATGGTTAATAAACACATCATTTTTTTTTAAGGCAACCTGGATTCTGTTATATGAAGCACATTACTAGAAATGATTAAACATGGTAATGCCGTAAGTGAGCTGAATAAATTCTGCAGTTTGTTCAGAGTATGTAGGATGTCGATGAGAATCTTCAGGTTACAATGGAATTATGTGTGAAAGGGTTAGAAAGGAACCTATTGCTGCTACAGTGTTTGATTTTCTTCTAGTTTTGTCTGGGAGATAAGCAGACTGGGCTTATTTATGCCATTACCTTCATTATCTATGGTATTATTTATATCATGATACGTCATGGTGCCTGTATCATGTGAATTAAATATGTCAGAATACCCTTCAAAGAGTGTAAAGCTGATTGAACTTATTATTTTATGTTTGTTCTCAGACAGTCATACATATTTTGCAAGGGAATTTAATTGCACCAAGACACCTGCTTTAAGGTTTAAAGTTAGTGAATTCGTCAGTAGTTTGAACAGAAGAGGAAATGTGTAGTTACGTGTAGCAGCTAGTGTTAGTTTTGGGAAATATGGTTATCATATGAGTTTGCAGATAGGAGCAGAAGCTGGGCGAAGTGATCTCATGGCATCAGGTTTGATGGAAGCAAACAGTAGCATCAAATTATTCCTAAACTCCCAACAGATGTTGTCTGACAGCACACCTTTACATATTCTTGTGATTCACAGAAGAACTTCGCATGCGGTCGCCTCACTTTTACAGCTAAGCCCATGCAGTATGAGATGTGTCTTCCCAGCAGTGATATCAGGGCTAAATTCCATCCTTCCACACTGGTGGCAAATACCTGGCATGCCGTGAGGAGGAATGTTGCAGTGTTGGAGCAGGCTAGGAGACAAACCAACATGCATCTTGGTCTGCATCTGAGAAATTACGGTATTTAAGGCACTAGTGCAGGAAGATCACCCCTCTGTATCAGGGGCACTTCACTAGGTGAAGCAGGTGGACTTCAGCTCTTGGAGAGTAGCTCTGCTTTTCTTTTGAGTTGAACTTCTGAAACACACTTCTGTCTTGCCATGTATTTTGTTAAGACAAAAATTTTTTTTTTTTTTTCGGAACCATTTCCTTGTCAGATGCAATGAGGGTGGAATCTCTCCATATCTCGTCACCATTACACTTTTCATTGAGTCCGTTGTAACATTATACTTGTTATTTTGAGCACTCTCCCTAAACTGTGGGATATGTTGTGAAGCCAAGGATTCTACTTCATTTCTTAGTTTTAGGTAGTCTTGTGAGGAGCAGGGAGTTGGACTCGATGATCCTTATGGGTCCCTTCCAACTTGAGATATTGTATGATTCTGTGTTCTTGTGGGGGTGGCTCTATGACATGGACCGGTGAGAAACACTCAATCGTGGATTCTCCACTGTAGATGCTCAAAATTAGAGTTCCATTTCCAGATTAATTTCTAAAAAAAAAACCCTTTAATTTTGAATTTTGTATGTTTTATTTAGAAAGGAAAGTAGAAAAATCTTTCTGCGGTAGTCGGATAGTTCATTTAAGTTACTTTGAAACAAAACCGAGCTTGAGAGGCCAACCTCTGAGGCTTCGGTCTCAGCTGTGGCTCTTGAAACTTAAATGTCCCATCTCCCTGTTTTCTGTCAGCTGGATGGACAGAGACCCAGTAATCTGGAAATTTGGAATGAGGACTTGGGCAGGAATCTCAAGGTTTGGCAGTCTGGGCTTCTGGCTTATTTTGGGTGAAAGCCCGACTGTCCTG